AATCTAGCAATTAAATTAGTTTAATTTCTTGTTTGTCTCTGTGGATTAATACCTGGATTTGTCATTATTCTAAAAGAATTTGGTATAGTTTAGTATTTATTTTTGGTGTGTGAAACAACCCACCATGAATTATTTATATATATTTTTGAATTTCGTTTATAAAATTTTTTACAATATACAGAAAATAAATTTTGAAAATTAAACCAAATTAACTTCCTCCAATATCTGTTAAAACAATATTATCACCAAATTCTCACATAAAATTACGTAACTTTAATAATATCGTAACATAATCTCTACATTAAATTAAAATTATGAGTAATTTTCTCCTTTATTCCTCCCTTTAAATTGGACAACATTCACATTAAAATTGGGTTCAAAAAATTTCCTTTCCCTTATTTTTTTTTTTTTGGTAAATTATAAATATATCATTTGATATTTACTTCAAATATGAATTACCTCTTTTGTGATTTAAAAATTTTCATATATCCCACTATCGAAATTTTTTATTTAACAAAATTAATTAAAAAATAAAAAATTTAACTACTCTCCTAAATAATGATAAAATTATCTGAATTATTAATTAAAATAAATTTCTAATATCATTAAAAAAATACTGATAATTTATTAATAAAAAAATGAGTATTTGTTATAAAACTAAAAATTTCAAAAACTGAATATAATTTTTAAAATTATAAAGAACAAATCATATTTTAAATTAGGTATATTTGTAATTTACTATTTATTTATTTAATTTAATTTTTCTAGTGTTATATTTAATTTTATTATTTATTTATTTAATTTAATTTTTCTAGTGTTATAATTGGGGATTTTTTTTTAAGGTCCCTGGTATTAAGATTTTATAGCATAATGGACATTCAATATTTTCATGATGTCTAAGGTCCCTCAACATCAATCCAAAGAAAATTCGATCTAGAGAAAATTTGATCCAGAGAATTTCTCTGGACAAATCACAGAGAAAATTTCAAATTTCTCTGAACACATCATAGAGAAAACTCCAAATTTCTTTGGACAACAATAAGGACTAGTGCTGTATTTCAGAGAAAATTGGGTTGGTCTAGAGAAATTCTCTAATTTGGACTGAATTTTCTCTAGGTTGAACTAGTGCTCTGCTTCAGAGAAAATTGGATTGGTCCAGAGAAATTCTCTGGGTTGAACTAGTGCTCTGCAGAGAAAATTTGGTTGGTCCAGAGAAATTCTCTAGTTTGATCCAGAGAAATTCTTTGGTTTCTAGTACTCTGTTTCAAAGAAAATTGGGTCAGTCCATCTCTGGTTTGAACTGAATTTTCTCTAGACCAAACCAAAGAAAAATTTTCTGGTTAATTTCTCTGACCTTCCCTAAACCTCCCACTGAAAATTTCAGTACACAACTTGGATCAAAGTAAGCAAAACAAACCGCCAAGATCTTTAGTGACAAAACTCAGAATTACACTTCTATCATTCACACTGAAAATGCTTAACAAGATAACCCTCTTGCTTTGGCTAATCAAGAACTACGCTTCTGTAATTGGAGCAACCATTTAAATAAAATTTAAACAACAGTACCAGCCTTAAATTGAGAGAGCGAGAGAGAGAGAGAGCTTCATAGCTAATTTTGTCCTTCAATACAACTGGTTCTTGCTAATTTTCTCTCGGTTGGTCCAGAGAAATTCTCTAGTTTGGACTGAATTTTCTCTGGGTTGGTCCAGAGAAATTCTTTGGTTAATTTCTTTGAGTTTTTATTCCACCAAAATCAATGCAGTATAATAACAGTGTGTATAAAATAAATAATCCTTACAGTAGTCACTCATCTTGATGCTAAAAAAACTGAACTTCACAATTAATTTATATTCATTTTTGTTTGTCTTCTTCCTTTATTGTGGGTTTTATATCTTCCATATTAACCAATATAGTTATGACAACAAGATACGAGTGATGCTTTCATGAGGATAACAAATAGCATTTATGAGAAAGAGAATGCTCCATACCGAAGAGGGACAATTCTGTTAATTTGAAAATGTTGAGGAACAGATTAATCCTTTTCTTGGAAACGAAAAGCATAGTTGGTAGTGAAATCTGGTTCAAAATGATGGGGAGTTGTTGCAGGTTTTGAGGAAAAAGAGGATCCCAAACCCAAAGGGAGTTTGGGTCGCTTGGATGGACGCTTGTAGCGTGGCGGCATTTCAAGAGTTGGTGAGTGCTGTTTGGCTGCCACAGACGGCGTCGCCGAGGACACCAACTGGGCATTTTGCAGTCGACGTGGGGGAGGAGAGGCGGTGATTCGTGGTGCCGACAGGGTTTCTCTTTCATCCTCCATTCAAGATGCTGTTAGAGAAAGCTTATGATGAGCTTGGGTTCGAGCAGAGAGATGGGTTGGTGGTTCCTTGTAACGTGGCGGCATTTCAAGAGGTGGTGAGTGTTGTTCGGCGAAGACGAAGCACTGGTTTGATGTAGGAGAGAGAGAGATAGACGAAGCATTGTTTGATGTAGGGAAGAGAGGAAGAGAGAGAGAGAGAGTAGAGAGTGAGAAGAGAGACCAAACTCAGTTTTTGAAGCCCTTCGTTTCTTCTTAAATTTCTCTGTGATATATGAGTTTGAGGTTGAAGGACCTTAGACATCATAAAATAATATTGTGAATCTCTTCCATCACCAAAAGTGGAAGAGGGATCTTAGACCAATTATCTCATTATAATTCCCTCCCTCTGTCCCCTAAAATTTTCCCATTCAAACCGATCTGTCTCTATACCTAGAGACAGTGGGAAAGTTTCTCTCTTCTTCGAGTTCAATCCATCACCACCTCTCTCCTCTATCTACCATTTTCTTCCACCATCGCCCATGAGTCATCTCTCTCACTCTCTCTAACATTTTAATTGAACAATATTTGCCCTAATTGTTATAAGTTAAAACCCTAATTGTTTTAGGTTCTGGTTTACTTTTTTTGCCCTATTTTTTGTAAGGTCAGATTTTTATTAGTATGAAATTGTGATTTTGGAGATCACTATATGAATTTCTTTTGAGTTATTGTTTCTGTGGTCTTCTCTTTGTACTATTTTCTATGCACATACCAGCAAGCATTTTTATTTATTTATTTATTTTGCTGTAGAAAAGATTGCAAAATGCAATTGGGTCAAACTTTTTCACCTCAAAAAATCCTCAAGTAGAGGGCTTAATGTTCTTGATTTCAAATGAGTTCTATTATAAGTTAATGTTGCTTTTTGCGTTGCAATAACTGATGGGTGTCATAAAAAATTTGTTTTCCAAAACAGGAAAGTTGTCCTTACTTAAATAATTTTTTCATGAATTGCTAGATGAAATGTGTCAAGTAGGCCAACAATTGGGTTGGACAAAAGGGATGGTTTAAGAGTCAAATTTAATCACTTATTAATAGTAACAATTTCTTTCACAACCTCTTGTTGTGGGGGGCTCAACCTCTTAATAATTACCAAATTGGCCAATCAAACTTTAGATGTAGTTCAATATAGAACTTTTAAGCATGTGTCCCTCACCCAATGCTTTTCAAAAAGTAATTGATCTAAGGTTAATGTTTTATTTTAATTTTGTGTGCCACTCTATTCAACCAAGTAATGTACAAAAACACATTTGAATCTGAAAAAATAAACAATGAGTGAAACAGAAGGACCAAATAGAGGACTATAAAATTGTCAATTTGGCCCTCTAAAATGGCTACTTAAGTTGGTCACTCTTAATTTCAATGGGCTAGTAAACTCATTGCCAATAGAATTTAAGATACCAACTGTCAAACTGTTCGAAACTGTTCGGTTTAGTTCACAATTTTAAGGCTTTGATACAGTCTTGAACCAAATCAAACCATGGTATATTTGTTTATTTTTCCTAATATATTTGTATTTGAAAGAAGAGTTCTTTTCGTTTCGGTTTTTATCATATTCAGTTATGTTTTCTTTTACTAGATTCACAGGGCTGTTCAAAACAAAATTCGTAGGATTTTGCACTTTATTAGTTTCATCTTCCAAAGAAAAGCTGATGATATATCCATTTGAATTATTTGTAATTGGATTGATTCTGCCTTATTTGTAATAGAAAATGCTTGGATGAAAATGATAATTCCTTTTATGTTTGGAGTAGAGAAATGATAATTCGTTTCCTTGGTCCTAGTATTTGGTTGTCATTGTTGTCATAGTAGTGTTTTTTAGCTCTTTTTATTTATTTATTTATAATTGGTCAAAAAGTTGATTTTGATATGTCTGATTAAGTCTTTCCGTAATGGTTATTGATACTTCAAACAAATATATTAAATGATTCGTCTCCTTTAGAGTCTTCTGCCACTTCTATTGCGGTTCCAAGGACAGTCTTCGATGTTTTCACCAGTGAACTGGCCAACAAATATTGCCAAGTTGATCAACGACCTATTTATAATTGTTACTGGGTTGCAAGGCCAGATGGTTTTTATATTAGCAACGATAATGCGAAGTGGACTAAGATAAATGACTGGGTGACAATTGTCTAATAACTTATAAACCAACTTTATCATAATCTAGTTAAACTACTAAAACTCAGTCACTCTTTGGCTTATCTCTCATGCCTCTAAATAATATATCATCTTTACGTTACCATTTTGTTTTCTCTGCCTAGATTGTTTCAATTTTTTGATTCTAGATTGGAAACTATGATCACCCCTAATAAACATAACTCGTGGATGGCATCGTCATGCATTATTGAAGGAAAGTATCAAGATCAACTTGGTAGTTTAAAGTTTGCTACCAAATAAAATTCCTCTTATTGATCACAACTACAGAACAAATACACAATTGTCTCAGCTTCTTAGGGTTATGTTGAACATAACAAAAGAAGATTGATCATCATCATCACACCATTTTGCATAAAATATGTCACAAACAAGGTTCCATAGTCCTAAACTTTATTAAGGTAAATAAAAAAGTAGACAATGGTATTAATAAGAGTGATGATGGGCAATCAAGAATTAGAGAGAGAGGAACTTAGAGAAAGATATTAGAGAGAGAAATTCTCAATTCAGTTCAAATTCAATATGTCCAAGTTAGTTACAAGTGAAGTAGTACTCCTCTATTTATAGGATACACTATCTAACACATGCTATGCATATGACACTACACCGTACTCCCTCTCTTAAGAAAAGACTTCGTCCTCAAGTAAAAACAACAAAATACAACCAATACTAGAAATGAAAAACACAAAACCTAAGTACAAGATTACAACTTTCAAGGAACTATTCTACAAGGGGTAAAGGTATCATCAATGGAAGAGGCATTCGGAAAGTAGGGAATAAGGTGCTGCACGTTAAAGGCATTGGAGATGCCTAAATGAGGGAGTAGCTTGACTTGATAAGCATTGTCGTTAATCTTGCGCAACACCTCACAAGGTCCCATCTTCTTGTCACTCAACTTAGTGTAGGCGCCATGGGGATATCTCTCTTTGCTCAATACCACCCACACGAGATCCCCTACTTCAAACACCACTCTGCGCCTATGCACATCACCAACCGCTTTATACTTCGCATTAGACTTTTCAATTTGGGCCCTCACTTGAGAATGAATGCTCTTCATGAACGTGGTCATTTCTTCTGCCTTAACACTTCATTTCCTTGAGAGTGACAAAGGCACCAAATCCACCACACTTGAAGGCCTTGTCCCATAAACTACTTCAAAGGGAGAAGTATTTATGGTGCGGTTGATAGATGAATTGTAAGCAAATTCAACCAAAGGATGCCATCCCAACTCTTGGGGTGATCCCTCACAAGGCACCGCAGCAAGTTGCCAAGGCTACGGTTCACTACCTTCGTTTGACCACCGGTTTATGGATAGAATGTAGTACTAGAACTCAAGTCCGTGCCAATTTTCTTCCACAAAGTTCTCCAAAAGTGAGCAAGGAACTTAGCATCTCTGTCGAACGTAATAGAAGTATGCATCCTATGCAACTTATAGACTTCCTTGAAGAAAAGATTAGCAATGTTTGTAGCATCCATGGTCTTCTTGCAAGGTATGAAATGTGTCATCTTGGAGAAATGATCCACCACTACCATGATAGAATCACTCCACCTTTGAGTAGGAGGGAGGCCCAACACAAAGTCCATACCAATGCACTGCCAAGGAGCATCCGGCACCGGTAAAGGTAGATATAGCCCGCATTAGTGGCACTCCCCTTGCTCATTTGACAAATTTGACAACGCTTCACTTGACTTTACACATCCTTGGTCATGCCCGGCCAATAATAAACATCTTGAAGCAACCCAAGGGTCTTGTCCTTATCAAAGTGCCCCATCTTATGATGCTCAACCAACAAATGTGTCCTCAAGGAACAATTAGAAACACACAACTTAAGGCCATGGAAGAGAAATCCGTCCGTTTTCATGTAACTTGGATAAGCCGTCCTATCCCCCCTTTGCAAAGCATCAAAGATCTTGGAAAAGTAAGGATCACTTGCATAGAATGTGCGAAATTCATCAAAACCCACTACTTCATTTGTCATTTCAATCAAGAAAGCCGTTCGCCTACTCAACCCATCGGCCACCTTATCAAGAACCCCCGATTTGTGGCTCAAAGAGAATGTGAATTGTTGCAAGTAGGCCACCCATTTAGCATGGCATTTGTTAAGATGGGATTGACTATTGATGTACTTGAGAGCTTCATGATCGGTGTTGAGCACAAACCCCTTGTATGCAAGATAGTAGCTCCAATTTAGTTACAAGTGATGTGGTACTCCTCTATTTATAGGATACACTATCTAACACATGCTATCCACATGACACTACATCAAAGAGAGTAGTGCTTTATCATTTCATCACATGTGAACAAAGTTTTTCAAAAACATCAACTTGTTTGGTTTGAATTTTCAAGATTCACTTTTCAAAAGATTAAAATTTTTTGTTTTCCATATTTTTTTTGTTTTCAAAAACATCAGCTTTTGACGGCTAACAACGCATGACTGTTTGTGTTCAAAACACACCAAACATCTTACCAGACGTCAGGATTGAGCTCACCGATTGCAGGAGGCATCCATCTTCCAAAGTTATAGACACATTCACCAACTTTCCACCTAGGCACATCCTTCATTATTCTCGCATCTTCTTCAAGATACTTACTTCCACTCTTTCACAAATCTAAAATAAATAAAATAAAACACACATACAAGGGAAAAAAAGGTGTTCAAGTTAGTGCAGTTAGTTGAATAGGATGGGGATTGGTTGGAAGGAGTGAGACAATAAAAATAAGATTACCTTTCATACTCTTCAGCTTGAAGTATGGGCAGTATAGCTTTGCACACAGCATATTTTTCTTCCTTAAGCTCCCTAAATAAATGAGATAATAGGAAATTGGCAGTGGCAAGCATGATAACCTAACAGATATACTTTACCACCTTTTGAACTTGTTTCGTACAATCCTAGCAAAGTTACAAAACTAATGAAGCGGAGCAGCAGCTTCCAGGCAAACTCTACTAGACCATCATCGTGCCATTCCCTCCCTGCCACTACTAGACTTGAGAGCATCTCCAATGAGTAGAAGATTAAAAGTAATCAGGGCACGCCATCTACCAAAACTGCCGCCTAAATTAAGAAGTGTACCTTCCCTGAAAGATAAACCAGAGTGTATTTTCTGGATAGCTACATATCAAATATATACACAAGTAACACATCCTAAATGCCTCTATCTGATTGGATGTGTGTGACCATCTTGTTAGAAAAGCTTAAAATCAAATCCATTATGCTCAAACTTTTCTTCTTCTTTTTTTATATATATATATTTTTTTTTGATCGGCCCATTATGCTCAAACTCTTCAAGGCAGTTGATGCCCTCTATAAAGAGAGAAGCCTCACAGCATTTTCAATCTTTTCATGATAGGCAATTGGTTTATCACAAAATAGAGAGGTATTATGACATCAAGTTACCCCCAGCTCAGACGGGGAATGATTCCTGAAACACCAAAGAAGTAACACCTTTGCTGCAACTTCATTTATAGTTCAGCCTAACACCTTTCATGAGTGGAGTGAATTTTGTCAACTCCATGAGTTAACTTTAAGGGAAAAGCATCCTTTGTCAGCTTCATGTTCCCAAACCCATGATGCCGAGTTCATCCTGATTGAAGCCATCCATACAAATATCTTCATGCAGAAAATCGGTAATGAAATGGAGAACCTTACTAGCTCAAAATGTTGTTAAACACAATTTCATGGATTGAAGCATCAGATTTGTATATATAGTGACACCAAAAAGTAGCAGGAAATGGAGTATTGGGTATTTGATTAGACCAAGAATTGAATTTCATTCAAGATAGGTGCATCTAGCAGTGGACACAATCAAATTTAAGATAGGTGCATCTACCAATGGATGCAATCAGAATTCAGAATACTTCACTGAAGCGAAGGGGAAAAAAAACTAAAATAATAATAATAATACTTAACCAAAAAAATAATAATAATAATTTTCCTATAGTAACACTACATTAGGTAAGGGTTATTAGAGCATAATAAGTTATATCTTTAGATTTATCTCACAGAGGCCGCGGAAATGAGGCTTAGAACCTTCTCAAGGATGCCAAGCATAGAGAGAACTTTGGCTATAGAAAAAATAAAACAAAATCACTGATGCACACAGGGCGTTTGTTCTGTACAGCAGTAATCTACAAACTATACAAGCCATGAATATAAATTGTTGAAAATAATAAATAAATAAAGGATATACATGTCTCTTCTCTGGTGTTCATTGGTTCATTACGCAATGCATTTTCTCTGTACCTTAACTAACTTTGTCCATTGAAATTTTTGTCAACATATGCACGGTCAATAGTTCTCCATGCCTCTAAGAAAAGACGATTCTCTTCAGTAAGGGCCATGCAAAATGCTAGCATTAAAGTATTATGATAGGAAATAAAATAAATTTTCAGCCGCTGCCACAAATAGAAATAAAATCTCCATTATCTTAAGCTTCAAACCAAATTTTAATTTACAAAACAATCTGTTTTGTGAATTATACAGATATACATCCAAGTGAACTTTGAAAAGACACCAAATTATGTTATGTGCTTTTTCAAAAAATAAAATTAAAACATAGAAAAAGAGGAAGAATCGCCCACTTCGAGGGGGGCATGAACCTCCTGAGAGCAAACCTTGTTTTTAATTAAAATGGGTTTTTATCATTCTACCAAGCCATACAGCAACTACAATTATTTATAGTAATAATAGATATCTTCTAAAAAATAACAAATTACATGTAAGATGTCTCGCCATTGATAACAACAATACTTCTACCTAGCGGGTGATAAACTAGCTGAACGATTAGTTGTTCAAGCTTGGTTTGAGATACAGATCAGAAATTAGAGAGTGAGAGCTGTGAGTTGAGTGAGTTTCATCTCCTCCTCTGTATTTTGTATTTTGCTCCATTTTAGTGAAAACTTCTCATTTCTGTCCGTGGATGTAGGCATTGGGCCGAACCACGTAAATATTGTGTTCCCTGTGCGTGTGAGATATATTTCTGGGTGTGTTTGATCCTAACAACAACAATACTTCTACCTAGCGGGTGATAAACTAGCTGAACGGTTAGTTGTTCAAGCTTGGTTTGATTACTTTAATGAGTGTCAAAATTTGTTCAAGTTTTGTTCATTAAACTTTTGAGCCGATCTCAAACGAGTTTTTGTTGAGATGAGCTCGAGCAGTTTGATATTTTTATATAATTTTAGACTTATGGAACAGAATTGATCAAGCAATTGACTGTCCAAATTTAGTTTGAAAACTTTAACAAATTCTAAATGTTGTAAATGTGTTTAAACTTTGTTTTTTAAGGAACAGACACGAGTCAAGCTCGAACTATTTGGTTCGTTTATCACCCCTTACTTCTATCAAGCAAAAGCATAAACCCAATACGCATCTTAAGTTTATTTCATTCACAGCCAGCAACGCTCTGTTTGGTTACCAAGAAAACAGACAGAAATCGGATTCAGAATTTTCACCTCCTATTTAGATATGAAGTCCTAAGGTACATACCAAATTACAGGTAAGCTGTCTGTCTGGCTAATCAAGCAAACGCATAAACACAAATTCACATTTTAATTTAATTAGCTCTGTTTGGTTACCGAGAAAACAAACGAAAAAAGATATAGAAAACGAATTTCAGAGTTTTGCGTGGTGCTGTTTTCTTGTGAATTACCTTGGGAGAGAAATTGGGGTTTCTGTTTGCGTTGGAGAGGAGAAAAGGAGGAGAGAGACGCATAATCAGAGGATCCAAATAGCATCACTTCCATTGAAGAGCATTTCACAGAGAGAAAATTTTTAGTTCCAATTTATATATTTAGGTTCCTCCTTCCTTTCAGAGTTCGCGTCCACTTGGGAACATATTCTTCTGTGAGGAGAGACAGTTGCAATTTTTATTATTTTTTAGTAGGGTCCAGCTTGTCTCAAGTTGAGATTAAAACTGGACCTGTCCAGTTTAGTTTATAGGACCTATTTTTTGGATTTGTTTTGATAATCTGAACCGTTCAATGAGTAGAACTCGTCGAGTACTATATGCCTATAAAAAATCACGTTAATCGGATATCAATAGCTATGTGATCAAATCAGTTTTGTATAAAACAATGGACAAGGAAAAAATTAACGATTCATAAAAAATTGTTTTCTTCACATAGCTATCGATATCTGATCAACGTGATTTTTTACAGGCATATAATACTCGACGAGTTATACACATTGAACAGTTCGGATTATCAAAACGGGACCCGTAGTGGGCTCTCACGGGCTCAACAATACAGTCCAATCCGATCTTAGACTGGACCAAAGCTACTGCCTTTTGAGTATACTTGGATTGCTTATGAAGAGAAATATTGAGTTTTTGGTTTAACGTACAAGGTCCACATCATCAATGGATTCAAGGACGACTCTCAACAACTAGTCATTCGTTGCCAATCGAAAGAAGATAATTTTTAGGTACACTCCCTTTGTGTTGGCGAGGATTTTAAGTGGCATTTCAAGATCAATGTCATTTGAAATCCACTTTTCTTCTGCAACATGCAATGGGGCAAAAACCAACGTTTTTAGTGCTCCAATTGAGGGTTATATCTGTCGCGACAAAGGCAAGTGCTATTGGTTAGTGAGCGAAGACGGTTTTACTTTAGTGATGATAAGCTTACTTGGCTGAAGAAATTTAGTTGGCAATGACTAATATCAAATGAGAATAGAGTTTAATGTTCATTGTTTGCCTGAATCTCTCAAATTAGTAATGTAAAACTGGATGATAAATATTTATAACAATTGTTCTTTCTGTTATATTTGATCATTAACTACTACTACTTTTTTTTTTTTGGTTAGTAATTTTTTATCGCATACTACTTCTTCTTCTTTATTTTTTTATTATTTTTTTATTTTGAACCTTTGATAAGTTTGAAAGAAGTAAGGATGTAGTAAATTAGAATACCTTTAGGGTGATTTGATTTTATGAGTCCAGGAAGCAAACTACAACAAAAGAAGATTTATCAATGAAAAAGTTTTAAGGAATTAGAAAAAAAATCTCATAATCTAATTCAGAATTTTAAACTAATGGATTAAATTTAATATTCTTATTGTGAGCAACGTTGTTAAAATCGGGAAAGACTGAATGAGATCATGCTCGTCTTTGCAGGTATACCAGGACCAAGTTCATCTCTTCATTGGGTCTCTACAATCCATGTGGGAGGATATTTCATGGTCTCACAATTGGTACCGTCTGTGGGAAAGACTGAATGAGATCAACGAAGAACACAACAAACATGTTACTGTAAGTAAACACTCTACAACACTTTGATAGTTATCACGGGCCACAGCCAAGCTTTGAATTTTCTCTCTGATGAAACATATCATAAAATTACTGTAAAATCAATTCTTGAATTGTAGACATATATCTGTGTGTACTGACAAACTCCATGGAATGTCTTTTCTTTTTTCATGGTAAATCTTGATGAAAAGTGTTATAATAAAATAGTGCTCATGGATTTACTTTTGCATCTTCATTTTCTCTCTCTAAAAATGGGTTTCAGATTATGTTTGTGGGAGCTTCTTTTCGGGATTATCAAAAGGGTTGCTCAGTCAAACCCACCCCAGGATTGTTTATTTAGTTTTTGCCTCAAAGGAGTTTATTTTATAATTAATTCTTGAGATATACATATGTCTATACTAACAATTTTTATGGAATCCACAATTAGGTCTTTACTTTCTCTCTCTCAAAGTTTATTAATCAAGATATTCAGCACCACTATCTTCTCAGCAGGATCGAAATGAGACTGGAGTAAACTATTAAAACTGAAAGGCTCATTTAATTCGGCACTTTATTTGGCTTGTCTATCAACCAACTCAGCAACAGCAACTCTTTATTGCGTTGTTTGTCAACTCTCTTGTTATTCTAAATCTCATTTCTGAATTTATGCTTATAGATTTGGTCCAAACATTTGTTTAATATCTATCTCGACATTCTGAGAAGAGTAGTCGGCACATATTATGTGGATTGCTTTTACATTTTCATTCTCTCTAAAAATGGATTTCATACTTTTCTTGGTGACAACATCTTGTCGGCATTACAAATGGGACTGCTCAGCCAAATTCATATGCAGTCTACCATTTATCTGTTTATTCTTTGTTTCTCAACACTTACCTTGCAGTTGATTGTTAAGGTAGTTGTGTACCTATGTTAAAAACAAAATTGATCTTCACTTTTTCACTTTTTCTTTCTCTAGACAAAACTAACATAAACAGGGCCATGAGTTATTATAAAACAATTTTTAAGGTTTTTACTTCATAATTTGTGCTAGTCTGAGGAAATCTCTCTCTCTCTCTCTCTCTCTCTCTCTCTATATATATATATATATATATATATATACATATACATAAGAATTCATTTGTCATGAACGACTCATTTTGATGCCGACCAAAATCTCGGCAAAACTGAACAAGTTGCATGCGTAAAGAAGTCTGGCCGACAGCCGGGTTGACACTAGAATCACAAATATTCCAACAAAGGTTGTTTAGCAAACCATGTTCGGCAGCTCTTCCATCTTTCTCGGTATCACTACACTCCCCAAGTTGCCCATCGTTGCAACACAACTCGGCATTTCTTCAACCCAATCTAGCCGCGGCGAACCTTGCAGAAGGCTACTTTGCATGACCACACATGGATCTTTGTATTAAACCATTATGCGTTCACCAACCGTTCCCATTACCTGTCCCTTTGTACAACGCCCTTTTGAACAACAATGCCGAGAAGACAACACCGAACACGCACTGCCAAACGCACGTAAAACTGGCACTTACGCATCCTATCTGCTCGGCAACGCTGCCATCTCCATACCACGGCTTAAAGGCAACGTGCACCTCATGATTACAGTGGATCTTTATTTCATCTATTAGCAAGGTTTTTGGCAAAGTAAAGCACCAAGAAATTACCCACCAAGATCGGGCCCCTCCACTTCGTTGAATGCAACAAGTTCGACGCTGACGGAATTATAAGGGCCAACCCATACTTCAAACCAAACCCGAATTTTCATCACCTCGACATCGAGTTTTCTAAAAATGATGGTATTATCAACTCAGCATCAAGATCAATCAACTCGGCCGATGTCATCCCAGCTTTATCAGTTTGGCAATCACTTTGCACCCATCTCAACTGAGTAAGTTTAGATAGACAATCAACTCCTCTCTTAAGAGTGTTCTTGACAAACCACCCAAGAAAGGATGTCGGCAAATCAGAGGTTGTTTAAACGCATGTAGCTCGGCCAAATGTTGATGCCACACGAAGTGATTACAACTCCGTCACCACAAATGATAATATTCAACCTTTATGCATCTCCTTCTAACTCCAATTCGGCAACTGATCAGTCACCGAAATGGGACAATGGCAATCTAATGTTACATTACCTAACAAATGGCAGACTTGCTTCAATCCCACTTCGCAATATTATTTACTCGGCGTCTGTAACGCCCTCAAAATAAACCCATAATATATATAACATTGACATGCATTAATAAAAGAAAACCAACCATTATACCATTCATCAGAGTATTCTTATTGAAAAGCATTACACGTAATATCAAAGTAAATGCCCTACGGGCTTACATCTTTCCAAGCCAACACTTGGACACAAAATATGAGTACTAACGCAACTACAAGTTAAGCCCTTGGCTTGAGTGTTTACATGTAATAACAAATAAAATAAATGACAACTAAACTAAATAGAGTCTTCAACTCCAATTCCTTCCAAGCTAAGCCCTTGGAGGTAGCTTATCACCTGAACCTGAAATTGATATTCCCGTATAGGGTGAGCCACAGCCCAGTAGAAATATACTAAACCAAACATAAGCATTGAATAAAGCAATAGCATTCAATAGATGGTTAACCAAGATAATCAATTATATCATTATACAGCCTCGTGATACTAATGTCTATGACGCGTTTCACTTTCCATTATTATCACTATGGCTCAGAACCTGGCCAAACTTACTGCAGTGAACTGTAAATCATATTCACATTACTTTCAATATCAACAAAACAAATGAGACTCAGGCTCATATCAAAACACTCCATACTTCCCGTTTGATACACATTTTAGTGCTGTATCAATAACATGTAAAAACACTTCAATATCAATAAGCACACATAATAGTGGTGCTAATAGAGTCCATCCCCTATCTCCTCCCAAACAAAAATCCGGTTTAGAGGTCCATCCCCTATCTTCCCCTAAACCGTGGAGTACATCCCCTATCTCCTCCTAAACAATATGCATATGCAATGCTCAATCAATACATGCATTTTCTGTATTAATTCAATAGTCTAAATTTATGACTTCAACAAATTGATTAGTTTCAATTTTCCCTAATTCACATGCAATGTCTACAACAAACACGATTATCCTCCACCGATAGCCCAAAACAGTTATTTCTAGACTGTAAATAAATGTATCAACTAACATAATTCCAACATTTTTATAGGTGAGTGATTAAACTACCAACTACACCACTTAATCAATAAATTCATTAATTCCATGAATTCAACTAAATTCCCCAATTTTCCCTAAATTAATTTATTACAACAACTAGGGTTTTTCCCAAAATTACCAAACAACCCCCAACATATCAAAATACCAAAACTTAGAACAAAACTTATAAGATGGAGTAGGAAATCCCTACCTTGAAGCGAAGAACTCGAATGGAGAAGATGACGAAAAACCAAAGTGCTCCAAACCCAAGATTGTTCAGATTAAACGGAAGCCCTCAACCCTCTCTATCTTTTTAACAAAGGATTTAGTATCCTCAAGGATCTAAATAGTACGCTCGGACTGCCCGTCAGTCTGAGGATGATAAGCCGTGCTAAAGGTCAACTTAGTGC